GAAGATAAAGATCGAGATATAAAACATTCAGAGCCAATGCATGGCAAACAAACAGCAACACAGCACGTTTAGATGCAACTTCTCAGTAATCACCTTCATTATAAGTACATTAAAATTTAACTGCAATGGCATTAACAAATTTCAAATTGAAATAGCAGTGAGTTATCTTTACATTATCTATTAGAAGAATTAAAATTCAAACCCACCAACAAAACCAAATTCTGGTGAACACATGGAGCCACAGAACTCCTTATTACTGATGGGAGCTGAAAAAACGCCCAACTATTTTGTTAGGATTTTTTCCTGGCCTGTAACAAAATACTTCAGAAAAGCAACTTAAAGAAAAGAAAGACTTGAGCTGGAGAGATGGCTCAGCGGTTAAGAATACTGGTGGTTCTTGCAGAAGACCCAGGGTTCGAATCCCAGCACCCACATGGCAGCTAACAACGGTCCATAACTCCAATCCCAGGGGATCTGACAGCCTCTTCTGATCACCGCAGGCATTGCACGACATAGGTGTACTTACCTACATGCAGGCAATACACACAGAAAAAATTTTAAAAGTTAAACTTTAAAATGATTTGCAATGGCAAGTTCCTAAGTAATGACTGTATGGGGCTAAACACTTCCAAATCTATTCATGTTATATTTATATACATTGTGTTCAGTATCCTTCCAAATTATAACACATCAAGTCTGTTAGCATACCAGATATTGAGGAAAATTTTGGAAATGGTCACGTTAACTATCCCAGTTGTCCTTAATTTCTAGAATTATAAGAATTATGTCCCAGTTGTCCTTAATTTCTAGAAGTTTGGTTACGTTGGTTGCTTCCTTGAAGCAGTTTAGTTTTGTGACAGTATTCTTTCACTGTGCTTGTGTTTTCTTTCCTTGTAGAACTTTCCCTGGGTGGTTTGATTTAGGTGTGGGGTACTACCTTGGTTTCAATGTTACTCAGTAAATGAGTCCCTGCAGTGCATAATGGTCAAGAGCAGAGCTATAGCACTGCTACAGCTGTGAGCCCTTCAAGTGAGCTGCTGTTCTTAGGTGCAGTTTTACTGTTACCTGCATATAAACATCGTCATGAAACACTAGGTAAGTGAAAAGTAGGAATAGGAAGTCCCAAACAATGCACGTTTCCCCCCACCCCCAAGTAGCTTTTGTGTGTATCTGTCTCTGAAAATGAGCATCAGATCCTGGTTCCATCTAATCATCCTCAGAGTTTAGAGTCTCATCTTTTCACTAAGTGCTTTTCTATCTTCATCTTCCATTGTTTTTATTCTGCTTGCAAGAATTGTCTGTGTCATTCTAACTTCCAGTGGTCTGTTTTATTAATCATCTAATTTTAGAATGCTGAGCATATTTATATTATGAATGGGACAGGGTTCACTGTTACTAAAAAGATGGATGGTCCACGTGGAATAGTGGGTGGTGGAATGATGCGTGATCGTGATGGAAGAGGACCTCCCCCAAGAGGTGGCATGGCACAGAAACTAGGCTCTGGAAGAGGAGCCGGGCAAATGGAAGGCCGCTTTACAGGACAGCGTCGCTGAAGCTCCACTGTTGGCAAA